TGGATTTAAATGGATTGGATTTGTCACCTCTTACTCTAAGATCTGTGGCTGCATAAGGGCATGTCGGCCCTGAAGCACTCCAGCATAGCAACGTTTCCAGCCATAGCAACAAGGGGACTGTGTGTGCTAGCTAAATTGGAGAAGATGACCTTTATTTGAATATCTGTATATAGAGAAGGAAATATCCTTAATAAAGTTTGACACATTTTTAATATACGATGATATTTTGAAAGCAATATACTTCCATTGTAATGATATTTTTCTGTCCCTCCAGCTCATTAAAATAAGATTTTTACCTCTATGCTATATTATATTCAATAAGCCTGTCTTTGTTCTTTCTCTGGCACTTAAAAGTAATTTCTGAAATGTAGTGACTTTATTAAATGAGTTGTTATCAATAAAATGTGACTCCGAGTGAGAGTTTTTTGGATAAATTAGTAATAAGTCCAAATACTTGCCCTATTTTCTGAAGTTGCTCTTTATTAAGAAAGCATACTGTGGTTTTGAATTACATGAGTGAAATGAAATTATACTGGCAGTAGTTAATGAAAAATAATAAATAGTTACAAAGACAAGTAAAATGTAAAGAAAAAAAATGACATTCCCCTCCAAAGAAGTTAGTATGAAAACAGAATCAAAAGGAAACTTAATTAGAAAATTCATTCCTTAGGGGAAAAGAAACTCTTTAAAAATGAGTGCCATGGAAAACAATCACTCATAGGTTAACTGACAAAGTATGAGTTAATTTACATATAAGAAAATAATTTAAAACATTAGAAATATTCTAAACATTATCATCTCAGATGTTGTCACCAGATTCAAAATTATTCATTCCAAGTTTAGACTGAAGGTTTGGGGGGATGAAGAAATAATTCAGACCCAGAAAATGAATACTAATGTATAAAATATTTAAGGAAGACAAATTATTTTCAGCTTCTGTTGGTGCAAACAAATATTAATGACAGGGGCTCTACTGCGAGGAAGACCTAGGTTGGATTTTGCCTCCTCTGTGACTTTGTTTCCTCCTCCATAAAACAGAAATTTGAAATAATCATACCCACATCATAGGACTGGTATAGTGTTAGATGAGATAGTTAAAACTCATCTGTAAGAGCTCAAAACATTTGTTATTATGATTATTGAATTTGGCATCCGTTAAAAACAAAATCACTGCAGATGGTGATTTCAGCCATGAAATTAAGAGACGCTTACTCCTTGGAAAGTTATGACCAACCTAGATAGTATATTAANAATTGAAGAAAAACCTTGACTTTAGTCTAAATTGATGGTACTTTACTACATCTGGCTCATCCTAAAAAGCAGACTATGTGGAATGTAACCATGTGTGCAATCAAGATTAAGAAAAGGACATGAATTGTTTTACAAGGATTTTCTATCTTTTTTCTTTTTTTGATGAAGGAAAGCCTTTCATCAAAGGCCCCCTAAAAAGGAATTAGTCATGTAATTTCTCATTATTTAATTAAACCACTCTCATCTTCCCAGGAAAACTGGAAATCCAATGAACATACTGACACATTGAGAATTAGTATCTTTGTACATTTGTTTTAACATCAATTCTCAACACCAGTTCTCTGTCTCACTCTCCTCCAATTTCTGTGAGCAAGCATCTTGCTCTTTCCTCTTTTGATTGTTTACTGTCTTTCCCATCCTGTGCTTCAGAAATGGGGACACTGCTGTTCCATACATCGCTCACACCCCAGTGACTCTACGTAAGTGCTGGGGCATGGCAGACACCAGATATTTGTCAAATCAGTGGGGAAAGGGGGAAAAATTGAATAATAGGGCTAGCAACTGACTATACTTTCTACTCATCACAATTCATAGATTATATAGGATACTTTTTTAAAGCACCCCCCCATCCCTCCAAAGTAGGGTGTTGAGTGGAGTGTGCTAACCAACTGAGGATACCCCGCAGTGTAACAAAACTTTTTCTTCTTGGTTCTAATTCAAGTCTTCCCATTTTTCCTCTGAGGTGCAGAAGATGGTAAACTGCATAATCTCTGCTTTGGAGTAAAATCTAAGAAAGGCAATAACACACCTAGTCCTAGCAGATGTATGCTGCAAAGATGCCTGCTTTCCTCAAAGTTTTGAAGAGAGATGGTAGAATACTGAAATATTACAACCTGTAGGATTCTCAGATTTGATTTTGAATTTCCATGGGAGAAGAAGGAAGAAAAATATAAAGATTAATTAAGTGAAAACTATTCAAGTCACACTTAATATGATGCACTTGTAGCTCTGTTAATACAAATATTAGAATTTCTAGAAGAAAATATTACAGAATCAGTGGGGAGAGATAAATTAGGAGGTTGAGATTAACCTCCTAATTATTATATTATCATATATATCATAGAACATATAGAATAGATAATCAACAAGGACCTAAAATAAAGCACAGGAAACTCTACTCAATACTCTGCATTAACCTATACGGGAAAAGAACCTGGAAAAGAACAGATATATGTTTGGCTAAATCACTCTGCTGTACACCTAAAACTAACACAACATTGTAAATCAACTATACACCAATATAAAATTTCAATTTTCTTCAATGTAAAAAGTTTTAAAAAAGAAAATATTCCAGTGTCATTCTTTTTTAAAAATCAGGGTATATGGCATTCAAGGTCAATTGTTCACATAAGATTAAGGCTTATAACTAAAGTAGACTTCTGTTCTAAAATTTCATTTTTCTCCTGAAAAGAAATGTCAGACATCACTTAGTAAATGGAATAACCGAAGCCAAATATTTACAAGTGTGACTTCCCTATGATGGCACCAAAAACTAGTTTTCCCATCCCACTGTAAAATTACCCGTCTAGGCTTCCAAAAGACATGGACATATTTGAGGTGTCACAAACAATTCAAATGTCATTTTGTAGGAGAAGGTAAAAAACAAATCTCCAAGAAACCAAATTTAATCAAAGTCAAGAATCTTATCTGAATAAGAATTGATATTTGTTTGAGTCTATATTAAATCTACTTGATGATTCACTTAACTTCAGTTAACTTCGAATGATTCAAATGCTGTCATAAAGTTTGGGGCAAATGTTAACCTCCTTTAATTAAGTCAGATAACTGACAGAAGAATAATTTGAAATAGCCTCTAACTATGGAGACTGAAGCACCCCCAGTAGGATTATTGCCAATGCTATCAAATTACCCATCCCCCTGGAGGGATGGAAGAAGGCATCCTTATTTCAAATGAGCCTAAATCAGACTTGGGTGCAAATTAAGAGTAGATGAGAAAGAAAGGAGAGAGTAAAGAATATTCTATTTTTTCTTGGATCTAGCTTTTGTAGAATATCTTAGTCACAAAAGGTATAGAAACATCTCTAAGGACTTTCTTTTCTTATATTCAACCAAAGAATCAAAGGACTAGCTAAATCATGGTGCATCCAGTCTCCCCAAAATAAGGAAGAGGAAGAGAACTGGAGAGACACACACGAAGGGGAAAGAAAGAAGAAAGGGAAGAACAATCATTTATTGAGTCATAGCTATGTCAGGACTATACCAAGGACTTTTCATACATTAACCATTGTAAATCTTACATCAGCCATTAGTAACCACCCCAATTTTGAAAGTGTTAGTCGCTCAGTCGTGTCTGCCTCTTTGTGACCCCCTGGACTGTAGCCCACCAGGCTCCTCTTCCATGGGATTTTCCAGGCAATAATACTGGAGTGGGTTGCCATTTTCTTCTCCAGGGGATCTTCCCAACCCAGGGACTGAACCCAAGTCTCCTGTGTCTCCTGCATTGCAGGCAGATTCTTTACCTGCTGAACCATTGGAGAAGTCAATTTTATAGATTAAAAAATCTAAGGCATAGATAGGTTTAAATGACTTTCCAGGATTCTGGAGCAAGCAGCAACACTGGACATGAACTTGGGCAAACTTCAGGAGATGATGAGGGGCAGGGAGGCCTGGTGTGCAGCAGTCCATGGGGTCTGCAAAGAGCCAGACACAACTGGGCAACTGAATGACAACAAATAGCCACCAAATGCCTCCACTTTTTAAAGTATTTGCTTCAAATAACTTCCAGGAATAACAGAAAATAACAGTGAAACTTCTAAATAATGTTCTAAGCAGTGTTCCTATCCATACCCCCTAAACATCACTTCCTGAATGTGATGAAGCTCAATAGCTTCACTCAATTCATTGTCTGCCTTGGAAAGGTGCAAATGAAGGCAGAAATGTATACATTGAAAGAAGATTGGTCATAAAATTTATATTTACTAATTGACTCTGAATGATGATGATGATACTCGAAAATATAAACTAAAAGGAATAGTTTGCTGGTTTGTTTTAAACTAAATATTAAACACTTCCTTAGGAAACAGTCTTATTTACACCAGAATATGTTTGGTCAGATGCAGAATTTGACTGCATGATGGCTTATTTGGTGAATAGAGAGTAGGAATGGGATGAAGCTACGTGTGTGCATCTAGCACATTCAGAGCCAGCTCGCCACAATTTATTGAATCATGTGTGTGAGTTTATATTACATGCTCATTATTAATACATTTTTGTTCAAAAGTGGGACTGATTTCTTTGCTAAATATTTAAATACAAGAAAGCAGCAAACTAGTCAAAATCACCTAAACTGGCAATCCCATCGGAAATAGACAAATCTTAATATTTCAAGTATATGAGTGGACTCTATCATAATAAACATGATAAATCATTACTAAAATGAAAATGTTATCTAAGCATTGATAATTAGAAAGACAGAAAGCAGGTATTGGAGTTCTGTTTGATTCAGCCAAACTAATCAGCTAAGTAAGATCTCATTTAAAAGGAATTCAGTCAATATACTTACCTGAAATAACTCATTTTCCACCTCTGGGCCAATCATACCATCCTATCTCTTCCATTTGTGAAAAATTCAACTAATTCAGTTCAAATGATTGTATAATTGAGTTCGCTCCAAAGCAAGCCCAGGCACCCATTACAACAGCAGTATGTATAATTATAAAGGGACTTACATATTTGGTTTCTCGACCAGCTGCTCTTGGAAGAGTTGTCGGCATCTGTATGAAAATAAAAACAATTATGCTACTAAAGTAATCAAGAAAATATTAAAAGATTCAACCTCTGGGATACATGTTCACCTTTCTTTTCCTATTAAGACTTTCTAACCAGTACTCCATCTTTTCTATACAAAGCCTCCTGTTCCTTTGAAATTTATTTCACTAAGCTTTACTTTCACTTTATTATTCTCTTCATTGCTGTTATCAATCAGTTTTGAAGAAATTATATCTTGTTTATCAATGACGTTCATTCATGGATCATAATAGTTCCTCACGCAAGTTCAGAATTCACACAGAAGTCTCTATCCCTCAATTCTTTGAGCTGTTCAACTCCGAAAATATCCTCATCTGCTCCATTTCAATCACCAGCTCCCAGGACTGTTCCTAGATGTCACCTTCACAAATAAAATGGAAAACTTCTGAACTTTCATTTCTCACATCTGTCTTTTAGAGCTCTACTTCCCATCTACCATCTTCATTTTTCAAATATCCCAACACATGTCTTCAGCCTCACGGAGACTTCAAAATTAATGAGGCTTCCCAGCTCCATTACATATGCTGCATATTCTGTTATTTTAATATCTTAATTTATCTTGCTTCTTTCTCTCTTTGTGAAAAACTCACAAAAAGTAACAATAAAAACATAGATGGATCATATTATATATATATTTCCTCTAAATTTGCACTTGAGATGCAAAACATGGTTAGAGGAACTTTCTCAATCAAGCTAACTGATTTCATTATAAATTATGAAATACATTTGTACATCAACTATATTTCAATAAAAATGAAGAATTAGCTATGGATACATGGGCTTCCCTTGTGGCTCAGCTGGTAAAGAATCCACCTGCAATGAAGGAGACCTGGGTTCCATCTCCGAGTTGGGAATATCCCCTGGAGAAGGGGAAGGCTACCCACTCCAGTAATCTGTCCTGGAGAATATACAGTCCATGGGGTTGTAAGGAGTCAGACACTACTGAGCGACTTTCACTTTCACTTTTTCACATCAAGTGAACCTGGGTTGCAGGGAGAAATAGACTACAAAGCAGCACATGGAAAGTGTTTTATTTGATGGGGGTTTTGCATCTTGGATGTGGTGGTGGCTATAGAACTATATGCTTTGTCAAAACTCATAGAATTGTACACTAAATGGGTAAATTTTACAATGGGTAATTATACCTCAATGAACCTGACTTTTAAAACAGAATTATATAAGCTACAATAAAGAACTGAACATAAAGACTGAAGAATAGAATAGATACTGAACAAATTCTTGAACTAGAATATCAGATCAAGGCATCTTCTTGGAAGAATTAGGAAACAATAAATAGAAAAAAATATGTAAAGATTAAGACATGGAATATAGAAACAAAAGTGACAAAATTATATAGTGAGAGCCCTAGGAAGAAAGAGACATTTGAAAAAATAATGACTAAAAATATCCTAAATGTAAGGGCAGGAAAAGACTGAAAACTTCAGATGAAAGGGCGAAGAGAGGATCAACTCAGATATATAAAAGAAAACACACACACACACTTAGACACATAATAGGAAAAATCAGTAAAATCATAAAGACAAAACTCTAAAAGATTACAGTGCTGCTCTATAAATGATCACTCTGTAGCAGCGTAGTAAATATCATGCTGACAAAATATTTCACAAGTTATGTTGTTGACAAGAAAGAATCTAGGCCAAAAATCTGTTGAGAAAATGGGACCTATAATTTTATATCTGGCAAAGCTATAATTTAAAAGAAAGGGTAAAATAATGCTAATCTCTGGAACACAGGCAATAGAATCAATACAAAAACACTTACTGAACACACTTTTCAGCAGGAGTTAAAAAAAAGAAAAATAAATCCAGGAAAAATCTATGAATCTTTCAGAAATCAGGATCTAAATAAAGATTAAGTATCTAAATAAAGAATAAATCAAGAAAAATATCACCATTAAAATTCAAATATAGAGGTCCAAAAGATACTAACAAACTCTGTGTGTGTGTACATTTGTACATATATAGAGCTCTTGGTTATAACTGGAAAGTGGAAAATGCTGTGGTATTTAACTTTGGGAAAATACACTTGTAAGTCTGAAAATTGATAGGAAAATAAGCACAATTATTGTTTTTAATAATTTACATGTAATTATGAACAGTAACAAAAATGCAAACAGAAAGTTTTCTTCATTTTCAAACCAATAAATGTCAAAATATCCAAAAGAAAACATTTTAAGTAGAAAATATAAAATAAAATAGCAGGAACTCATCCTAATATAAGAATTACAATAATAGCTAATGGCTTAAGGTCCCAGATCAACAGAATACCAGATCAAATATAAAAGTGATATCCAGAAAAATGTTGTCTTGAAGAAAATAAGAGCCTACAAAAGATAAAAAGTAATAGAAAATAGTAAAATAAAAAAATAACAAAGTATATATCTAGGAAAACATGGAGGAAAAACTACATATACATTATGCTTATCAGGTCACTGTTTTCATACAAGACTAAAAAGAACAGCCTATGTTGTTGTCTATGTCTATGTGTTGTCCTAAATGTGAAAAAAATTCAAAGAAGGGATATATTTACACATGTTGTACATTCACCTTGTCACATAGCAGGAACTAACACATCATTATAAAGCAACTATACTCTAAAAAATTAATTAAGTTTAATTTAGAAAATAAAAAAGAAGGGACTTTCAAAAATAAAAGAAGGTGTACACAAAATTAAATTTAAAAAAGAAGAAGTAGGCTTGGTTTAAAATTTTCTTGTCTGGTTGTTTTCTTTTTTCCTGGATGGTTCCAGAAAAAAAAAATATGATTTTTATGAGTGTCAAAAGTAAAACCACTAGGCTACTCAGGTATGACCTAAATCAAATCCCTAACGATTATACAGTGGAAGTGAGAAAAAGATTTAAGGGACTAGATCTGATAGAGTGCCTGATGAACTATGGACAGAGGTTTGTGACATTGTGCAGGAGGCAGGCAGCAAGACCATCCCTGAGAAAAAGAAATACAAAAAAATCAAAACGGCTGTCTGAGGAGGACTTACAAACAGCTGAGAAAAGAAGAGAAGCCAAAAGCAGAGGAGAAAAGGAAAGATACACCCATCTGAATACAGAGTTCCAAAGAACAGCAAGGAGAGACAAGAAAGCTTTCCTTAGTGATCAGTGCAAAGAAATAGAGAAAAACAATAAAATGGGAAAGACTAGAGATCTCTTCAAGAAAATTAGAGATACCAAGGGAACATTTCATGCAAAGATGGGCGCAATAAAGGACAGAAATGGTGTGGACCTAACAAAAGCAGAAGTTATTAAGAAAAGGTGGTGCACTGGGAAGACCCAGAGGGATGGGGTGGAGAGGGAGGTGGGAGGGGGGACCGGGATGGGGAATACATGTAAATCCATGGCTAATTCATTTCAATGTATGACAAAAACCACTGCAATGTTGTAAAGTAATTAGCCTCCAACAAATAAAAATAAATGG